CACCTCAACTCACGGCCGAGCTTGGCCACAAGAACCTTTAAACCTTCTCACAAGCTGGTAGATTCAGGGGCCTACCAAGGGCTTGCAGAATACCCCTTCGTTAAAAACGCCACCATGAAAACAGAAAGGAGGGAGACTTCCTTGCCTCTCACCCTAACCCTAGGGAGAAGCAAAGATCATTAAGGGGAGCAATATTCTCAAAAGCACTTCCCCGGCAGAGAATTTCCCCAGAAGTTTTTACAAAGTACTTCACCCAAGTCCCATTACGTGTCTCACAATTTAACCGAATGCTGTGGCCCTATAAATACTCCCAGGATATTTTTAGGAGCAGAAGGATAACCACATTTGGCACCTGCAGAGTGTATGTGTTTGCTTGCTAAGTCATGATGCCTCCCCCTTGGTTGAAAACAACATTTACCCTCATAAGAGAGTACGCATCAGTAGATTCCCTGTTCACTCAGGCCTGTACTCTGCAAGCTATCCAGCCTTCTCCTAGTTTAAGCAGAAATAATGACGAGATTCTCTTGTTGCACTACTGACATTGGTGACTTTAGGACTCCCCTTGAAAGGGCTTCTACTCAAAAACGGTAAACAGCAACTGCGCTGTGAGCAATAATCCCCCTTCCCTGCTCCTTCCTTGAAAGGGTTTCTACTCAAAAAAGGTAAACAGCAACTGTGCTGTGAGCAATAATCCCCCTTCCCTGCTCCTTTACCCAGGTCTAATAAAAATGAACAGATTACCTTCTCCATGCAGCAAAGAAGGATCCAGCAATTCCATCATGTATTCAATTTCAGTATCCAGCTCCAGCATGTCACACTGCGCGAGGACGTACGTCAACACAGGCAAGAAGTCATCGGCTCCGTACAGCCTCCCTGGGTCGAAGGGGACACAGTGAGTGACACCACACCACAGCTGTGTACCAGTGTCAGTGCTGGGAAGGAGAGCGCTATTTCACTGCCCGCACCGACCCGTACATTTGCGTTACCCTAGAGCCTCCTGTTACTCGTGTGCAGCAAAGAGAACGTCACCTGGCACTCGCTGCACAGGAGACCAACACCAGCTTCATCCTGCGCTTCTGACACGCACAGAGCTGATGATGCACACCTTGAGTCATGCCAGGGGATTTAAAGACTGGGCTCGCCTTGGCATCAGCCCAGCTGCCCAGCTCACAAAACGCTGCCGTGCCCGCCTGGCCTGACCTCCACCTGCACTTCTGTCCCTGGCTAAGGGATGACAAACAGGTATTTTCTTCACACATGCAAGGACAACGTCTGCTTTCTGGAGGGATGCAGCCACAAATACCAGTTTGTGAGTCTGAATCCCAGCAGAGAAGCCTGAAAATAAAAGCCTGCTAGACCTGACATGAAAACTCAGCTCATTTCCTTGACAGAGCATAGCTAAAAACATCCGTGAGCACAGCCTCGTATCATTCCCAATGAGCAATGGCAGCACACGGCTGACAGTCAGAGACTCTGCCGCACCTACCTAGGTCTGTCTCTGCTCCTATCACTTTCACTGCATTTAAACTTTCTCTTTAGGAAATACCATGTGGCCAAGTCTCTGGGTCAGACCAAACTGCGTCCATTGCCAAACTGATGCGATGGTCACTGAAAACCATGAAGAGCAACTTAAACTTTGGTGAAGCCCCAGATGTCTGATGGGCCAATACACAAAGTTACACCAGCTAATACATACCCTCCAGGTGTCAACCGGCTGAGAGTGCAAAGCAGATATTCAAACAGCTGCTGCCTCAATGCCATGTTTTACAAACTTCACGTGACAAAATTAGACGGCCCAAGGAGCATTTGCCACATCTCAGCCCAAGCCTCTCAGTGCAACAGAGTTAGTTCAGTTAACCAGCAGCAGCCTCTCCGTATTTTGTTTCTGCATGTTGGAAATACCGTACTCAATGTGATAACACATCACGGAGAAAAAATGGTTACAGCACTGGAGGCCAAGATTCCTATTCCATTTTAAAATGTGGGATTTTGCAGAAATAATGACCTGGGCAGGAGCCCAGACCTGAATCTTGCAGAAATGCCTGGGGGTCTTTAACAGCCTCAAGCTTTCACCATTCATCTCCAGCCCCGAAAGGAAGGAAGCATCTTGATCAACACTGGACCACGCTGCACACTTCACGCTGTCTTAGCCAGAAAACTGCCAACCACCAGCAGCAGCAGCTTATACTTCCTAGGGAAAACAGTCTCCCACTGCCACCAGCAGCGCGTCACCTCGGCTCCTGACCCACCGCCGCAGCGTGCGAGAAGACGTCAGGCAGGAGTCGCGCCCATGAATTCGTGCCACCTCGCACAGCATTTTACTCGTGCTGCTGACCACTCGACAGGTCCTCCTGGTCTGTAGCTCCATTTCACTATCTAGGTTTCAAGGTCGCTTTTGGACTCTTGCTGCAATGCCGAAATAGATGTTGTGTTCCAAAAACATGAGTGTCCAAATGAGAACATTCAGAGCAAGCAAAAATTACTGGATCAGAGGCTGCTTTCCTCCACCCATTAACACAGAGCCCTTGAAGCTGTCATATTGCAAACACACATACATTGAATTACTATAGCTAAGTATAGGGCGTTACCTCTATTACGTTCTCATTTAGAACCAGTGTCAAATGCAAGGCTCACAGGACAGCCTTTCTGACAGCCAACTTCAAAAGCCCACAGTTAAGCAAAGCTGTTTTGTTTTGTTGGGTTTTTTTTAAGCTGTTTCACAACTCTGCTTCACAGTGGACTTGTCAGATGTGCTGCCAGATGCATCAGAGATATTTGGGAAGAAGTGGAGAGGAAGAATCCCTCTCAAAAGGGTGAGGAGGTGCCAGGAGAGCTTCGGGAGAAGGAGACATTTGCAGAATCAGGTGGTCTGATTTCCTCCACCGAAAGACACCACCAGGTCTGGAGAATGAGTGAACCTGAACCGCGAGAAGCGCCATACCTGAGTTATTCTCCATAACGGTGTAAATCAGTTTGCAAACTCTCAGGAGCAGCATGACTTTCTTTTCAGGCGAATACATTTTCTGCATGGTCATGAACTTGACTTTAATCTTTTCCACGTCCACAAAGTCTGGTGTGGGAACAAACACGCCCAGCTCCTGAGGGTTCCTCTGCCGCACCAGCTGCAGGTTTTCCTTCAGCTGTTTCCAAGAGCCATCCGCGGTATGAAACTCTTTCAACATCGCTTCAATGTGGCCCTTCAGTGGCTTCAAAATGCACTTATGCATGGCCTTCTCCAGGACAACATCTGCAACGGGAAAACACAAGTCCAGCTGACTTCCTCCTCTAGAGCAGAGCCAGTATTGACATAACCATTCCCAGAAGAGACACTGCAGAGCAAAACCTACTTGCTAAGACCTACTTATTGTACAAGCTGAGTTCCCAGATGTTGTTAACAAGAAAACAAAAGGCGGAGCAGAATCTGTATCCCATTTTCATTTATGGCAATGTGCTAAATACAAAATAAACCCCATAGACTGTCACAAAAAAAAGACAATAAGAAGGCAGCAAAGAGCAGCAAGCTGTGGCTCCAGTTCCCTCCTTCTTTTATTGGCCAGAAGTCTCCAAGTTTTAATTTACTTTAAGCTTTGTATTTAACTCCTAAAGTAAAACACAGTCAAAACCGTAAGCTTTGTCTGCTTTGGCATGAAAGCCCGTCCTTTTTGCATAGTTTCCATCAGAAACTGTAACTCAACCAAGGTCTCAAAAAACTTGGCTCAACTTTGTCAAGGTCTTTATGAAGTTGGACAGATTATGGGCTTTTAACTGTAAATGAAAACCAAGCAGTGTTTGCCCAGCTTCGGATTTCATCACGCAAGCCCAAGTACAGCTTTGTCATCAAGTCTGAAGTTCTTCTTTGGCAACGGCGCGCACGTGGCGCAGTAACCACTAACTCAGTGGTTTCTTTATTCTACTTCTACTCAAGTTCAACAGCCATCCTCTGTTTTCAGACTATGGGCCATATCAACAGAGACTTCTTTGCTGAGCATTTTCTCTGCAAACCTTCATTTTATCAGCTCCTTTCCCCTCCCACTCTGCATCCCCGTGGCCACACAGCGTACATTAACCATCAGCCTTCCTCAGTGACTGGTGCCACAGCGAGCTCCCGGAGCACAGAAGCCACTGGGGACGCCTCAGGCCCAAGGACAGCGGGGCAGGAGTGCGAAGGGAGCACAGGGACCACGAGCAAGGGAGGAGAGAGGAGACGGGCACTGCTGGATCGCACCTTTATACCAGATGGCAGCAGACATGCTGCTCTTACTGCTGACTGTATTGAAGCATCGTGAATCCTCATGCCTTTTCCAGGCTCTTTGCCTGTTCTTACGCGTTTCTCTTAGACCACAGTCTCTCTCCCCGCCCCAACCCCCAGCTTTTTTTATTTTAAATTGCAGATTATTGCAGGTGTGGGATTTACACACACACTCCAAACAAGCATCACCTACTTCTGTTTTCTTGCTTTTGTTTTATGCTTTCATTTATTTTATCCAGCCATTTTTCCTGCTGGGTCTTCATGCCTCTCCCGTACAAACACCCTTTACGCACTCCTCTTACGGTGCCTTTTCTTCACATGTCGCGTTTATTCCACGTTTGCCTGGCATGAGATCCCCAAACGTCCAACGCTATTGGGAGCTCCCATCTCCCCTGTCCCAACCCTGCTGGGGTTTCTGTAGCTTCTCTCTTCATTTCCCCCTGCTGAGACCCCGATGGAGGGGGCAAAGCCACGTCTGCTTCATTCCCAGATGCTTTCAACGCATCTGGGCTCGCTCTCACAACAGAGACTGCAAAAGCTTCACTGTGCAGTGACAGAAACTGCCTCTCCATGCCGTCCAAGCCATTCTCAGGGCTCATGGGGCAGAAACACTTTTCCACCAAGAAAGACACAAAAATCTCACCCACAGGTATGTTGGATAGCTAAATTTCTAGAGGGTACACAGAGTTCTTTGCTAGCTTCACTGATGATTTTTTTTTGACAATTCAGCTTACTTTATTGCCTGGGTTTTTTCGTTTTCTGTTTTTTGTTGTGTTGTTTTGTTTAACAATAGCAAACCCACCGACTGCTCTGGTTGTAAGCAGAACACCTCTGCAGTTTGCATTCCAACCGCCTGGTCTTGTTTAAGTCAAAACTAAAGCAGTCAGTTCTGCCAAACCTTACATTAAGTGAGAGAACTCTCATTGAAGCTTTTAACTCCCACAGGCTTCCACTAGAAGCCCTGCACATGAATAGTTAACGTCAGCCATCCTTCATCTCTATGAAGCGGGGTCACCACCACGTTTGGTCACAGGAGGCTCAATAAGCTGTAAAGAACTCAGCAGGGATCCTCGGAGCCCTGGTCTGACGAGCAGGGAGCACCCAGCCCGGGACAGGAGATCAGAAAGCTCAGAGCTCCCCCGCAGGCTCCAGGCTCAGCCGCTGCCCGCAGCACCAGCAGGGAGGGAGCTGCAGAGCCAGGCCCTCCCCGAGGCCCCGGGAGCTGCCGGGAGGGAAGATCCTGCACAGAGCCTTGGTTCTTGGCTGGGGCCAGGTCTGTTACCTGCGGGTGAGAAGTGGAAGCCTTAAGTCTTCTCCCCTCATCACTTCATAGCTAGCGCCGCTCCCACAGCTTCGCGTACAGACAAATCTCAGATTTCTACAGCTGTGCAAGATGGTGAGGAGGCGTTCTTTCATATTTGCAACGAGTCACAGGCTCCAAAAGCAGTGCCTGGAAGTTGCTTTGGAATTTACTCAATCACATTCCACAGTTTCCACGGGAACTTAAATGGATTTGAAGCAGCACAGAGGAAGAGAGCAGGCAACTCACGCGGCTGTGCTCAAGGCTCCGCACGGGTCCAAGAACTTATTGCTGAAGGCTGTTCCTATTGGCTTCCGTGCTGTCGATGCAGGCAGGTCAATAAAAATAGGGTGGGATATTTAGTACAGCATCCTTCAGTGCTGCTCAGTACCGCTAACAGGAAGCAAATGAAATGAAGGACAAACACTATCTCTTTGGAATCACAGCTGACTGCCTCCGCTGGGTAAGGGTAGCCCAGGAGAAACTGCCATCTCAATGCAGTTCGTCTGCACAGAACCAGCCAGCAAATGAAGAAGTGACTAAGATATGACGGCGTGTCCAAGGTTTTTGTTGGTTTAAAAAACAAAACACACACCAAACCAAATAAACCCAAACAACACACAATCTTTTCTTCTCCCTTACGAATTCTTGGCACAGGAGTAAGAACCACGGAGTTCTGCTGTCCAATTACAAAGTGGCAAATTCTAGCAAGCTGATGAGGCCAACAACATAGCAAGATTGATAAGGACTGCTTTGGGTTTGTTTTTTAAACAGTAAAAACATCCACATGTATCTTAATTAATATAAAACCTATAATTATTTATATTATTATTAAAGCCTGGAAGGACACTATTCCTTGTGATCTAGATCTCGGACACACAGTCAGAGTCACAAGACATGTATAAGCGTGTTTGGGATCAGACCACCCAACAATTTACCCTTTTTCTTCTGAACTGCCATTACTGGACCCTTTCAGAGAAAGGAGTTTCTGGATACGACCCCAACACAAAAATTCCCAGTCAGGAGCAGCTCTCACTGTAACTGCTAATGGCCACAAAAAAAAGTTCTAATACCTGGGTCTCCCAGGTAAATCCAAGTTGTGAACTGAGAACTGATCCTTTGCATCCACATCTCCATACACTGCTCAGATCTAAACTGACAACAAAATTTCCTGTTTACTTCAGCATAAGCAAAGTGTTTTCAGATATCCTCCCAGGATGCTTAATGCTCCAAAACCAAACCAGACACTCTTTACAGGTTTTTTTTAAACTGAGTACCATTTGAGCTGAGCACCATGTAGCGTTCCTGAAATGACACTTATAATTAGCTTCCAGCCTCAAAATGGGAACTGGAAATGCTTTGATAAATGAATTGTTAAGGCCAGCCAGCTAGTTTCACTGTGACTTGTGGAAACACATCTGTATCCTGTGCTGACACGCCGTTTTGCTTTGCTGCAAACCACACAAGTCTGCATCTCTAGAGAACAACACATTAGTCATCGCCAGTGTCCTTACGCAGCCTCTTCGCAACCCTCGCTCCCTGAAATTGCAGGCGCGCTCTCACCTTTTCCAGGATGCCAGTTTACCTGCTACCAACTGTGTGGCTCCACTGTCAGATCCCAGCCCCCGGATTTAAACACAAGCCCTGTTCATCACCTACGATGGCCAAACCATTCATCAGCAAAAGAAGGGCTTTGGAGACCAGATTTAAAGATATCTTCAAAAGTGGGAAACAAGACTAATGATAAAATCTCACAGAACAGAAGTAAAACATTGCCTCTCCACAAGCGGAGCAAAGGCAGAAGCTGGTCAAAGAAGCCTCCCTGCACGCCAGTTTGGGGCATGGACCGCACTCCCCGTGCAGCCTCCAGCCCCGCCGGCCTCGACTCCTCCACACAGACCCAAGGCCCCACAGCAAGGCACATACAAGACTATGATAAAATCTCACAGAACATGTAAAACAGAACAAGTAAAACATTGCCTCTCCACAAGCGGAGCAAAGGCAGAAGCTGGTCAAAGAAGCCTCCCTGCACGCCAGTTTGGGGCATGGACCGCACTCCCCGTGCAGCCTCCAGCCCCGCCGGCCTCGACTCCTCCACACAGACCCAAGGCCCCACAGCAAGGCACATCCTACCAGCGAGGGCCCAACGTCTTCTCTCCAAACCTCTTTTAACACTCCACGTATAGGAATCTGTTAGGGATTGGAAGTACCAAAACAAGCAAGAGGCAGTAGTATTGTTCGGTCACCTTCCCACACGATAAGTTAATACCTTATTGCCAAATTATTTAAACCAGTTGTTTCCTGGGCTAGGCGCAGATTCGGGCACCGAGATGGGAGTTGTTCAGGTGTTAGGTCCTGCCTGGTGATCACCTGGCAAAACGACCACAGTCAACTGGACTCCTTTCTGTTCACGGCCACGAAAAGAAGAAACACAAACAAGAACTCCCCAACACTTGCTATTCAAGCAGCTGTGGACTATCAGAGTCACCTCTGACCAGCCCAGGTGGATACAATTTCAGGTGCGGACAACTTTAAACAAAAAACCAAACCAAAACAACAACAACTTTGCATTCATCCTTAAACAACAAAGCCGTGTGCCTTGGGCTTGATTCTGTCTCAACACTGGGACTCCTGTTGTTTCAGGAAGGGTTAACAGCCTCCAGTGCTAAGATTAGGAGGCATCTGTCAGGAATAATTAGAAACACTGATGCACATTTGCCCAGTGATCTGGCAGAAGTTAAACAATTTGATATGACTCTGTTCGGGAAACTTAAAAGATCTCCCACAGAAGTCTTTTGCTTGCAAGAGTCTGGAAAGTCTCTGACACAAGAGCAGCTACACGATCATTACACGGACACGGGAGAAACTTCCAAACACCAAGGCCCTCACTAAGCCAGGGGTGCTGCTCGAGCAGACACCGAAACCCAGGAGACAGCAGCGGGATAAGGGGAGGTCTGGCTGCCACCGAACGGGCGACCGGCAGCAGCAGCTCTGGGCGGGAGGGGAGGGCGAGGCCTGGCTGTGGCTGCTCTCTGCAGAGGCAGGACTGGCCTGGAGCGCTGAGGGGCCTCGTTTTCTGCCAAAGGCTCTCTCCCTGCCCCTGCCCCAGCACCAGCAGTGTGGTCCCAGTTGCAGGTGAAGCTGCTGGAACACGAGGGTGCCCAGTGCCCCTTCCCGCGAGCCCCCGGCACGGCACGGCTGCTGTGGCCTGCTCTGACTCGCAGTCGCCAGGCCTGGCCAGAGCCTCCGAGCTGCCCCGCCACTGCTGTGGGACAGTACACGATGAACAGAAAGGAGGAGTCCTTTGCCAGCAGCATGAGGAAAAACCTGCACCACAAACGTGTAAACTGGCAAGAGGATAAACGACAACTCACAAAGTTAAAATTTGGGCTGCAATTCCATACTGGAATAGTCAAGCTAAACTGCAGATAATAGGCAGGGCTACATCATAACAAGTTCTCTACGGGGATGACTAAATCTTGCTGTCACATAGTTATCTGCTAAGATCAGCAACATCTGATGCTCCTGATCCACTGTGGTTGTCTGCAGGCTTGAGCCATAGGCAGTAGATGATTCAAAAGCAAGTTCTTCCTTTGTTTAAACTATCCTGCTTTATAAATTAATTGCTTTTAATCACATGATCAGAGCCAGACTTTGTCGCTGAAGAAAAGCAATGTAGTTTAGTTATTACATTTCATAGCTTATGCCACTCCAAACTACTGAAGCATTTGAAAGCGGTCAGCGCTTTGCCAGTCTTCAGAGACCCACTCTGATTTAACCACACCCTCACGATGAAAAGTGCAAGTCAAACCAAGCTTTCACAGAGTTACGAGCAGACCAGATCTGTATTTGTCAAATATCCAGCCCTCTGCAGAAATCCAGGCGAAAACGCGCCTGCACCACTGCTCAATTCGCTGTTTTTTCTTCCACGTAACACCCACACAATATTCTTTATTATTCCAGTGAGACCATTACGCATCTCTGCAAGAGTCTCGATTTCAAGGACACTCTTTGTGGTGCTATATTTGCTATCGCAGCGCTTGTTACTTTTGCTTGACTTTGTGTAAATGAAGTTGAGGCTACACGAGAATACTCCCTCTTGGTCAAGCGCAGACAGAAACGTCAGCATCAAGATCACCCTATCGTCCCCGAGACAGAACTATCAGCCAACTGCTGGGACGCTGGGTACAGAGGAAAAACAAGCAAGTTAGGACTGAAGTGAGCTCACAAGGAAAATATTCTGCCCAGAGGGATGTTTACCTCCTAAATGTGGCTTATAGGCTCTTTTACAAATACTGCTCAGACTTGGCAAGATAGAGGGGCAGGGAGATTTCATGCAGCAACAATGATTTCTCTTTTGTGGATACACAAAAGTCTCTGTTGTTAAAATATGTATTCAAACATATAGCTTATCTGCAACTATTTATAAACACATACATGTACAGAGAAGTACAGAAAACCTGCGATTAGCAGCCCCCCCTTCTCTCTCTTGCACACATTTTGTTTGCTTTTTAAAACTCTCATGTACCTTCTTATTTAGCCTCCAGTGTAGGGACAGTGCAGCTTTTCTAGGAGTGAATTAAAACGTTTGAAACAATTAGATTTATTTAAAAAGTAAGTTGCTGTGAAATGTCTGTCTGTTCATAACTGCCACTGGTTTCAAATAAATTCTATTTTTGTGGCAACAATCCATACAGTTAAAATTGGCACAGTTTTGCTCCAAGCATCGAGAACTATTTCAGCTCAATTCAGGGAAAAATAATGTGTGCCAGCAAATAAAGGATTCTGTATCGTTAGCAAGTACAGCAGCTAAAAAAAAACCAAACATAAAAAAGTAATAGGGGTAAAAAGTCCACATTGCACCTATTCTACGGATAACTTTTTACAAACAACTTTGTAGCACAGTTATTCCGAGTCGCTCGGGTGGCTGGGGCAGGAGGGGCGTGTGGGGTTGTTTTGTTTCGTTTTAAGACTCAAATACTCAATGGCTCGAGCTCTGCTAGCAAAGTCAACTCCTCCTCTCCAAACTGGCACAAAGACTACCACAATCAACACAGATCAAACATCTTCACCTTCCCCCCAAACACAGCACGGTGTTTCTTACCTATTTGGTCCTCAGGAATCAGCGACTCGATCGGGGGATCAAGTTCGGAACTTTGGGACAGGTAGTTCTTGACTTGGGTCATGAACTGCCGAATCGTTTGCAGCATATCCGTGCTCGAAACATGGCACTCCTTGTTTTCCTGCAGAAAGCTGACATAGTCCTGCACCAGGCACCCAAAGTAAGTGCGTTTGTCCCGGGACATCTCTGCAATTTTCTTAATCATCCTCTTTTCAGGGGTCATGAAGGAACTGAAAACTCCACTGACTTTCCGTAGCTGAGATTTCACAATCTTGGGGAGAACAAAAGAGCTGTTTCTTTTCTTCTTGGGCTTCAAAGGGGGTGCCATGCTCTCCTGGTCGCTCTCCCCCTCAAAGTCCTCCAGGCTGCTGTTGGTGTCCCCCTCATAGCCAAACAGAGGCATGCTCCGATCGAAGTCCAGCGAGTCGGACGAGGAGGTGGAAATGCTCATGTCGCTCAGTCTCTGCCTGCCTCCATTCCAGGGCGCCTGTGACTCAGAGCTGGGAGCTGCCGCCTTCTTGGCGGCTG